TATATTATAATGAATTTTTATGATTTATATAATTTAGGTAAGAGTTTTATTTTGATTTTGTTTTTACTTTGAAAATTCTTTAAGTTTTACATATTTTTGATTTAATTGTTTTTAGTAAGTGTTTTATTTTGATTCATTTTAAGTTTAAAATATTTTTAATTTGTCATTTTTATGAATTAAATTTCTAGTCTGTTTTATTTTTATTTTTTTATTTTACTTAATTTTAAATTTCTGTGATTTGGTTATTTATTTTGAGTGTTTTATTTACTTGTTTTCATTTTTAAATGATTTTCATTATTTTAATTTGACATTTTTATAATTTAATTTATTTTTAGTAAGTGTTTTATTTTGTTATATCTGTTTTCATTTTAAATTATTTAAATTATTTTAGAAACAAATTTCTTAGTCATTGTTTTATTTTGATTTGTTTTTAATTATTTAATTTTACATTTCTATAATTTGATTGCTATTTTTGTTTTATTATAATTTTTTAAATATTTTAATTTTATGATTTAATTCATGTTTTATTTTTTGACAGTTTTTTTTTTTTACTGTTTTCAACATTTATTAAAATAATTGAGTATAATAATAATAAATAGTAATAATATTTTATTATATATATTTATTTGTATTTTTGATCAAATAAATGCAGCCTTGCTGAGCAGAAGAGACTTGACCCAAACGTTCGAGCGCTAGTGTAGCGTCTCGTCATGAGCGCCTCCGCTGGTCATCATCTGAACGTCTCGGCCGTGTTTTCTCCCAGAGGTGCGGCCCGTGTGTGTCAGCTGATGCTGGGCTGCACCATCGTCTCATTAGTGATCCACAGCGCCGGTTACAGCGCCACCTACGGGACCTTCTGCATGGCGGTCTGGACGAGCTGCTTCGCCGTCAGCGCGGCCGTGCTGGTGCTGGACGTGACCCGTCTGCACGCGTGTCTCCCGGTGTCCTGGGAGAACCTGACGGTGACGTGTGCGTCTCTCGCCGCGCTGCTCACGCTCACTGCGTCTATCCTGTATCCCGTGTTCTTTGTGCGCGCGGATGACTGTCCGTACAACAACTGCGAGGTCAGAAACTTCCGGATCACGGTGAGCGTGTGCTCGTGGGCGGCGTGCGTCGCGTACGGGACGGAGGTCTTCCTGTCGCGGGCCAAACCGGGGCGCGGCATGAGCTACTACATGGCGACGGCGCCTGGCATCCTGAAGGTGGCGCAGATCTTTGTAGGATGTGTGATTTTCGTGATGCTCGCCAGCGGGACTGATTTCACGCGGCACGCAGCGACGCTGTACTGCGCGGCGGTGTTCGGCGTGTGTTTGACCGGGGCCGTGCTGCTGGTGGCGCTGGCGGTGTCGGGCCGGAGCGGGGCCCTGCGGCTGCCGTTCGAGCGGCTCGCTGTGATCTACACGTTCGCCGCGGTGCTGCTGTATGTGAGCGCTGCCGTGCTTTGGCCCGTCGTCTGCTTCGACGGGAAGTACGGCGCTCCGCTGCGGCCGCAGGGCTGCCCGAGGGGCAAGTGCTCATGGGACGTGAAGCTCGCCGTCGCTGTGATGAGCTTCATCAACCTCGCGCTGTACATCGCCGACCTCGTCTGTTCCCACAGGAGCCGGCCGGTGTCGCAGCGTCTGAACATTCATGACACGCAGACTGTCTCATGACTCCACTGCTGATATCACACACTGCTGGATTACTGTGTTTAGGTGCTACCGCCAGACCCGGAGATCGGCTGAACGGATTCGAAAACGGTAAAACTCAACTGTTTAACTCTAGGGGAGTTGGAAAATGAGCCTATTTTCAAAAATAGTGGAGTGTTCCTTTAAGACTGCTTTTGTGCTGCAGGGTCACATATGAACATGTTACAACATGCCACTAAATCCAAACCACTCAAATCAGATGTGCAACTCCAAGCTCCATTTCATTCATTTTTTATTAATGTTTTGAATTGGTTTGATTATTAGTTTTCATTTTCACTCGAACGTTTTAGTGATTTTCTTTGTTAAATTTTGTACTTTTGTCATTTGAAATTTTTTCAATATTACTATTAAGGTTTATTTTTGAAGACGCTTTCAGATACGGTTCAGTTTAACACATCTGACCATGTTTAAATCCGTTCAGCAGATTTCCTTCTAAAATCAGAGCAGAAAATGATTCCTGATGTCCTCCAGGCACAGCTATTATTCCTCCGTCCTCTTGTTCCTCTCTTCTCCTGTCGTGTGAGGAATCCGCAGATCTTCTGTTTGTTATACTCTCATTTGTCTCTTTGAATTTAAGTGTGGAAGATGCAGAAACATTCGTCTTTCCGGAAAACCTACAGGAACGTCAGTGCTGTTGGGAAATGGAGAACAATAAAACATTCTCAGACGTGTGTCGTTGAGATAAAACACTGAACCTGTCGAGTTTCACACACTCATCTTTCACCAAAGAACAAGTTATTGTGCACCAGGGTTATTAAAATCATAAAATAATGTTTGTTGCTTGAAATAAAATAAACCTGAACTGAAAAAAT